ATTTTATAAGGATATATCTTGGTATTGATTATGCTAGGACAATTTCCTTATATACAGTGTGCCCTTTCACTATGTAGAATTAAATCGTTGTATCGGAAGTTTGCTTTTTTAATTATGATTTTTAAATTATTTTTTCTTTTCCATTACTTTAGATTTCTTATTTTGGGCTCCAATTATATGTATGTCATGTTTCTTTCACCTGCATTCTATATCTACCATTTCTTTTTTTTCTGTTTCATTTTGTCCACTTTACTTATTTTTCATTATCATGGTCCTTACTATACTATCTGTATCTGTTTTCTCTTTACTCTCTTATAATTTAACTGTGTCGGTGAAGTGGTTTTGACTTTTTTTTCCCCTGAGTTTAGTGGGTTCCTGTTTCACATCTTCCTGTGAGTTCATGTATCTCTGCTTCATAGTTTTCCTTCATAGATGTGAAACTTCGGTGCTGAGTTAAAGCAGCACATACCCGTTGGAGAGCCAAAACAAAATATGTTAAGTTGAACATATTTTAACCCCATTTGATGTGGTACTTACCATGATACTCACGCCTGCTAGGAACCTGATCACCTACTGTATTGTGATAAGCATAAACTGAGGCAAAGCCTGGAAGAAAAAATGAAGCAGGCAACTTCCTTAGTCTCTGCAGTCTTTGGGTTGAGGTCTTTCATGTGGTTATACTGCTCTGCTGATTGGAGGAGATGTTGCTGGAAGAAGGAACAGAGTAAGCATATACAGAAAGATAGGACAAAGGAACGTATTTTGAAGATCTCAGGTTGGCTGCAAGAGAAAAATGAGTATTTCTAGCTGTGTGAATTGCTATCTCAACTAAATCAGGATTCTGTGCATATAGAATTAGCGGAGAACAGAAATTGGATAGTCAGCTAGCATCTTCCATAGTTAAACATTTGGCCTTGACGCTTAGAATACAAATTGTAACTAGATTTAAGGTTATTCACATAGAGATAGATTTAATCTTCAAAAGAGGATATAAATTAAGAGAAGAAAAGAAGAGCAAGGAGAAAAATGGGGGGAACCCATGTGTTTTAAGGGCAGGAAAAGGCAAAGGAGCAGAAAAAGGGACGATAGAGTGTTCAGAGACATCAGATAAAAGGGACTGTTAGGCTGTCTGTGTTAGATTGAGGCCTGCTAGTGTCCTCCCCTGGGCCAATGGCCCGCTGTGTTGGGAGGTCAGTCTTGTTATGAGGGTCATGGTAAGTGGGCAAGGGGGAGAGGAGGTGTGAAGGCTGCTCAGTGACCAGGAGCCGTGGTGCCCAAAACAAGGTCAGGTTCAAGGGAACTGTAGCCCCAAAAGCTCAGGTTTTAATCAAGACAGACTTGGATTTGAACCTCAGTTCCATCACTTACTAGCTGGATTTCAACTATAAATGATAGAAGTTAGACATAAGCAAAAACTTATAATGAGTGATCAGAATACTAACTACCACATACGAGAACCTTACAAACATTATTTCCTAGTCTTAACCCTCATAAGAATTCCCATTATATGGATTCTATTATCCCCAATTGTACAGAAAAGTAATCTGAGGTTCTGTGTGGTGAAATGCTATATTTAGTGTCACAGAAGTAGCTAGAAGATGGACCCAGGGCTCAAACCACACCCCAAAGCCTGTTCTGACTGCTCTGCTGGACCGACCCCTTCCTCAAAGTGAGTGTCCTGGCTTCAAGGGCATGCAGCCTGTGGCTGCCCTGTCACCTATTGATTCCACCTGGGCCTTGGCCCATCCATCATGGTGGTGGTGAGGCCACTGGGGGCCTCTGTGCCCTTCCTGCTCGTTCTAACTCGGTGTGACATCTCTTGAGACTCTCCAAGACTTAAAATGGAAAAGATGAAAGGGGATCTTGAAACTGATGCTCTCTGAGCACCAGACCCTACTTCTAGGCCACCAGGGACCCACTCCTGTCCCTAGCCTCTAGATTTCCTATTTCTGGATACAATCTGTACAACCTGCCAATGCCAAGCTAATCACTGGGGCATCACCAGTCCGTGCATCTGTATATCACCATTTACAACCCTGGTTCTCCTGAGCTGCCATCTTTGGAATTGTGCAGAGTGGGAAGCGAGTCTTGAGGGGCTCTGACTCCCTAAACAACTGATGAGTGTGTCTGTCATCGTCTTGTTTTCTTCCCACTTCAGTGGCCTCTTGGACCCTTTCCACATGCATGGACACTGAAGTACTGACTCCTTGAGGAATTCTTTAAAATCTTAGAAGGGAAGGTTTGGGAGCTAGGCTTTCATGGTCAGTGCCACCACCTCTCCTCCTCCATCTTTGCTCTCACTTAACACTCACTGAGTCTCCATGAGGTGCGGCACAGATGGTTAAGGATACAGGGCAGGTGTGTAGCAAAGTGAGCTTGAATATGAGACAGTGATAGGAGAATGCAAAAAGGTGTGAGCAAGTCAGAAAATGAGCAAAGTGAGAGACCACTGGGGAGGAGAGCAGAATGGATGGTCCATCCCTGACGGCTAGACATGTGCCTTCTCGCTGTTGTCCCAGTTGACCCTCCAACAGATACACGAAATGGGAACATGCCCCCATCCTGCAGCGTTGGACTGCAGCACTGGCCCCTGAAGTCTGGCGTGATCACTCGGGTCCTGCCTTCACACTCAGGCCTGAACGCCTTGTGGTGGGAACCCTGGGAGGGGCCTCTGGGAAGGGTCTCTTATAAGGAACAGGCAGGAGCATAGGACAGGCTCTTTCCCATGGGTAGGAGGAGTGGGCTGGCTCCTGGGAGCAGTGCCCGGCCAGCAGGGCAACTCAGTGGAAAGATTCAGATTGGAGGGTTCACATGCAAACACGAGGATGTATTAATGAGGGACAGCAGGTAAATGCTGTAACCACTGTGAGCCACATTTCCTGTTTGTGACAAGCCAGGATAATGCCTGCTCCCCGTGTGGCTTCAGGACAGTCTTCCCCTGGCTACACCCAGAGTTCCTCAGTTGCTTCACGGGGGCTGTTTCTCTCCTCTCCCTTCCCTCTCCACTCCAGAATTCATCGTGCTGATGGTATTGCTAATGTGCACACCCGTGGTGTTATGTCTGCATTTTGTGATAGGAACTAAGGTCGGGAGTGCTCCCCCTACCTCCCGTCTCCTTGACCTTCCTCCCTGATACAGGCTTGACCCTCCTTTGGCATTATCCCCCTCGGCTCTGCTTAGAGCAAGGTGCCCACCCAGGTCATCGCCCTGCTAAGGCATAATTTTCCTGAAGGCAGGGCCTTGTCTTTCTCTTCATAGAACCTGAGCCCCAGAACATGAATGCTCATTTGATAGTCACTACCACTTGGACTCAAAAATGCCAGTTTTTGATCACATGGTGGCATTCGTACACTGTGACTGTTAGTCACATGTGAGACAGAAGGTGCGTTCTCACATTTCTGCTTTGGTTCAGTTCCCCTAAACCAGCTGTGCCGTTGCCACCACCCCCGTGCCCAAGGCCACCCCCCCTGCACTACTACCACTGCACTACATTACCAACAACAGTGGGGCTGCTTCACGCCAAGACCTCCACCCAGTGTCACTCACGAGAACGCCACCAGCCCCTGCTGTGTTTTTGCTGGATGACCCAGGTGTTTAGTTTGCGTTTCTTATCCACTGAGATGGTGAGAAGATGCCTCTATGGTGACTGTGGAGGAGAAAATGTGATTAAATTGTAAGTGGCCGTGTGGTATGATTTAAATATTATGATTGACAGTATCAAGTCTGCACTAGAAAAAAGTAGAAAGATCAAAGGAAGATGTTCAGATATTATTTTATACCTTTAAAGCCTCATCCTGTTGTATAATACAATGTATTTCAGCATATAATTACTCAATACAGTTAATACGTACAAGTTATTAACTATAAGTTAATAGTTATATTGATTATTAACCGGGAGTTAACCAGGAGAGGATAAGATTTCATTTGTTCTTTAAAATTAAATCTAGTTTTTAATTCTTTGTCCTTAAAAAGCGCATGATGCCTGGCTCTGGCCCAATGGCGCAAGCGGTTAAGTGCGCACGCTCAGGTGAGGCGGCCCAGGGTTCGCAGGTTCGGATCCCGGGCGCACACCGACACACTGCTTGGCAAGCCATGCTGTGGTGGCGTCCCATATAAAGTGGAGGAAGATGGGCACGGATGTTAGCCCAGGGCCAGTCTTCCTCAGCAAAAAAAGAGGAGGATTAGCAGATGTTAGCACAGGGCTGATCTCCTCACAAAAAAAAAAGCGCATGATGCCTGATTGAATAGGATGCAGTGTGATGCGTCCTCCCTCCCATTAGAAGTCCACCACCTCTCAGTCAGGAATTAGAGCCCCCACACTGAGTTCCCCCCATAACATCTCCTCCTGGTGCTGAGTCTGCTTCAGCACTCGGCACTCGTCCCAGTGTGTGTGTGTGTGTGTGTGTGTGTGTGTGTGTGTGTGTGTGTATTCTGGGGGGAGGGGGCCTGCGGAACCCTCGCCCCAGGGTGTGCACACCAGCCCTGCCTGGCATCTCACCCCATTCAGTGCCTGAGCTGGGAAGTCCACCTCCTACTAAAGCCTTCACACAGAGAAGCCCTCTCGAGCTTCCGCTTTTCCAATATTCAGCTTAAAAGAAAAAGTAAAACTCTGAGCAAAAGCCCACAGAAAATTTGGGAATTCTTTTTATTCATTTTTTTACTTTCTGTTTTGCTCCTCGCTGAGAGTAAGCTCTTCAACGTGATTTTCACAGGGGAATGTGATAATGAGGAATGTAATGTTTGAAGTGCATGTGTGGAGCTAAAGGCTCTGAGACTAGATGTAGTCGCATATTTCAGAGGGACATCAGCCGTGGGTGTGAAATTCCGCTTTTAAAGGTTACATATAAGGTCATTTTACCCCTTTGAAAAACGAGAACTACTGGTGGAAAGTTCCTTAGTCAAGGTGCCAATGAGAAACTCTTCTTTGCTTGGTTATTTTCTATAATGAAGCCATTATTTACGTGTTCCTGTTGTAATCTGTTGTCATTTCTTCTCCACAGGCAAAAACTGGGACCTGACCGCCGCTCTGAGTGACTATGAGCAGCTCCGCCAGGTGCACACAGCCAACCTGCCGCATGTGTTCAACGAGGGCAGGTGCCCCAAGCAGCCAGAGCGAGAGCTGCCCCAGCCCGGGCACAAGGTGGAGCGGCCCTGCCTGCAGAGGCAGGACGACATCGCCCAAGGTATGGACCGAGGGACGGAGCCCAGGCACCGGCTCCCCTGGGCCAGCGTGCCATGGCTTGAAAGAGGGGGACTGGAAAGGGTGCGAAGAATGGAGAGGTCATCACCTTCCAGCTGTAGGCAAATTGGGCTCTCAGTGCCTCCTTCCTCATATTAAGCTGAAATGTCCCTTGCTGCTTCCATCCATGGCTCTTCCCTTTGCCTCAGAAAAGCGGGAGAGTGAGTACAATTCTCTAGGACCCCACATGCCTCCTGGAGTCCTGGTTTTTCCAGGTCAAACATCTCTAGTTCCTTCAATTATTTCTCAACGTAGTCTCCAAATCTGTTCAACATTGATGTTCATCATCCCATGTGCTCCATTTTCTCTATTCTTTTTATTAATTATAGATATGCTTATTGTAGCAAAGGAAACAATACCAAAATATGTAAAGGAAACGTAAGAGTTTTCTTCTCCACACCTCCCAAATCTCGCGGAAGTAATAACCAATGATTCCATCCCGGTCTGTCTCTTTCTGCTCCTCTCACTATGCTTATTCAAAATGCAAACGCATCAGAGTCACATGCACATAATACTTTGCAAATTGCTTGTTTTATTGAACCATAAATCATGAACATATTTTCTTAATATTTTATTCCACAGCATACAATAATTTTTAAACCACATCTGTATTAATGGTTAGTCTGTTTTTCTTGGGTGGTGGTGGTGTTGTTTGTTTTAGACACTGTAAGCGATGCTAAAATAAACTTTATACCTGTAATCTTACATACTAGTACTTTTATTTCTGTAGGTTAGCGTTCCCAAAGTGGATTTGCTCTGCCAACTCGTGTATTTTTCATTTAATAACTTCGGGACTTCTTTCCCAAACACATTTCTGCTCGCATGTGTGAAACGGGGTGTTTCCCTTCATTCTTGCCGGCGCTCGATGTTCTCACTATGGTTTTACATTGTTTTTCTACTCTGAAGGGTGAACAATAGTGTGTTATTTTAATTTTCATCTTGTCATGTGCTTGTTAGCCAGTTGGATTTCCTCTTCTGCAACGTGCCTGTTCACATACTTTGCCCATTTTCCTCTTGATTTGTTTGCATTTTTCTTAGCAGTTGTAGCATTCTTTGTAATTAAGACCACGTTTATTTTGTGTGTGTGTGTGTGTGTGCGTGCATGTCCCACTGTATCGTTTGCTGTATGACTTTGTTCACAGAATATTCTGCCATGCAAAATGTCTACATTACTACACATTCATGGCTGATGGGTGTCCTCTCTTGCTTTAGAAGTTCTCCTGGAATGCAAAGTTACTGACGTATTTTCCTATATTTATTGTTAAATTTTGTCCTTAGGTATTTTAATTGATTTGGAATTATTATAAATAATAGCTAAGGATCTAGTTTTGCTTCTTCTGGGTAGAGAGTGAGTTATTGTAGTACATTTGCTGAATAAAGCATGTTTTTCCCACTGAACTAAAATGCCAACTTTGCCATACATTAAATTCCTAAGTATATTTGGATCTGTTTCTGGCTTCTGTCCATCCATGTGGGCACCCATCCTGTTACATTTGACTCTATTATTTTCATATAGTATTTCTCTCGGCTAAGGCCAGGTCCCTTTATTGCTTGCTCTTCTTTTCCAAAATCTTCTCACTGTTTTTGGCTATTTATTCTGCCATATAAACCTTAAAATTAGAATTCTGATTGGAATTGGATTGGATTTTTTATTTTATTTTGGGAATAATTGGCATATTGTAATGTTGTTTTCTCATCCAAGAACATTACATATGCCTCTCCATTTATTCAGATTCTGTTAAGACTTTAGGCATAGAGAAAAGCAACTTATTTTTTTCATATTTATCTTTTATCCAGTCATTACATAAATTCTCATATTAATACTAATTGTTTATTCTAAAAGAAACTCTTGGGTTTTCTAAATATACAGTCATAGCAGCTGAAATAATTTAATATTCTTCTTAATATTTACACAGTGAATTCCATTTCTCGTCCTATTGCATTAGCTCAACCTTCCCTAACTGTATGAATGAATGTTGTCTTTGTTTCTGTTAGCACAGCCTTATTGGAGTCTATATCTTGGATTATTCTTTTATGCTTATTCTGTTGTCTAGAAAACCCACAACTGAGTTAGAAATTTTAATATGCATTATCTGTTTCTTCTCTTAGCTTTGTCCTGTCCACTGTGTTTGAGGCTATATTGTTAGGTGCATATGTATTCATAATTGTTAGGTCATCTTGCTCTAGTGGTTTTTTACCAATATGTAGAATGTCCCTTGGTCCCACGTAAAGGTTTTTATCTTTAAGTCTATTTTGGTTGATACTAAATCTCTACTCTGCCTTTCTTTTGGTTTATATTTGCCCAGAATGTTATTTTTTCAGCTCTTATTTTCAACCTTTCCTTATCCTTTTATATCAAATGTGATTCTTATAAGTAATTTATCATCAGATATTATTTTACCATCTAATCCAAGAGTCTCTGTCTTTCAAACAATGAATTTAATCTATTTATTTTATTTTAATTATGTTGTATCTGTACTTCTTCATGTTGTAGGGTTTTTTTGCCTTTGGTTTGTAGGGTTGTTTCTTGTATGTATTTTTCTCTCCCTATCTGCTCTGGCTTATTAAATTTTTCTACTGGTTTGAAAGTTATACATTCTACTTTTACTCATGCTATAGTTACTCCTGTTCTATTAAAATCTATATTTAGGTTTTCTTTCTATTATTTTTTAAAACTTAATGTATTTAACAAGCATATTTTACCTGAAAAAGACATACACCTTAGTATGTTTTTGTCTTCTCCCTGCCCACTGCCACTTGCCCTCAATCATATTTAGGTTCTTTTTGTTGCTGTTTAGACAATTAACTTCTTTATTTTCTCACATTTATCTTTTGCTGAAAGAATATTTCCTCAAAGACTATTTTCTAAGAGAATTTTATATAATCAGTCTCCTAAGTCCTTGAGTGCCTAAAGATGTTTGCATAATATACTTAGAGTTTTGTTTAGTGGAATAAGAATACCAGGTCCATATCATTTTCCTTCAGTGCTTTGAAACCATCCCTCTACTGTCTTCTTGCATTGCATTTTCCTGTCATCTAAGAGATTTCCTTGACCTGATCCTCTCACGTTGTGATTCATTCTTCACATGAATCCATTCTGTTAATCAGCATTCACATTTTTCATTCCAAATTAGCTCTTTGTCATCATTAGTGTTTCACATTCTAATATTCTCTGTTCTTTTTGAACTTACTCACTAGGCTTACTTTAGAGTCTCGTCCTCCTAGCCCATCCCAGCACGGGTACTTTGCTGACTTTCTGTAGTAGTGCCTGCACTCCTCAAGCGCTTCCTGCATTTTCCCTGAGAGCTCACAGCGTCTTGGGTTATCAGCCATCTGTAGTCAATATATCGGAGGAAGGGACAAAAGCCTGGGCTCTGGTTTGCCCTCCTCTGAGTGACACTGTGGGGGGAAGTGCACTCAAGGTGGAGAGCTCTGGTGCTTTACTTTGGGCTCAGATGTTCCCTGCTTGCTCCCTTCCCCACAGCTGGGTTTGCTCCTTAGGAAACCTCCCAGCACCTCAGTTCTAGAAATTGCTCATTTCCAGGGGCTGCCACCCTTCGTTGTAACTGTCAAGCTCCCAGTGTGTGTTGGAGAGAGGAGGGAAGGCCCAGAGCCTGGCCAGCCTACCCAGTGCTCCGCCCAGCTGTGCTCCACCAGTGCCGTGACAATCCCTGACGCTGGCCAGCGCTGGTGCTTGCCCACGCTGTGGTGGTCATGGGCATAAGCAGACCCACGTGCTCCGCTTCTCTTCTTTCTCATGGCCTGTGTGGTCTGACTTCTCTTCTCGCCTTTTCTCAAAATGCAAAATAACTTAATCATCTTGGTTTCAACGTGAAATTGAAAGTGAATCAAAACTATCCATTTTGAAATACTCTGTTTCTGAGACTTGCCATTTATTTTAATGCACAAATACTTGAGGCTTCTGAGAATTGACTCTAACTTACCCTAGAATCAAAAGCCTCTTGTTTTTAGTCTGCTTTAGCAGACTGCTTTAGTTTAATAACATTTCTGTGCACTGCCTTTGCAAGTGGGGCAGTAAGAAGCTCCTGTTCTGAATGAAGGCACAGGCGTGGGTTTTCCGTCAGCACAGGGGAGCAGAGGTGCACCTCAGAGGGGTGAAGGCCTGAGCGCAGAACGTGACCAGAGAGCAGACTAATCTGAAATGAGATGGGAGTCCGTGTGATACACTTGTGAATGTGCCACAGGGTTTAGACAATACTCAAACATCGGTTTGAATTCTGTTCTCCTGAGCAAAATAAAAGACTACTGCCTTGCTAAAAGAATCCTGCATTACTACAACTATCGACTGTAAAAAAGAAAACCTGTTCCTAAAATCATATATTTAGGAATTCTTGTATTACGGTAAATGTTTGTGATTAAGCACAGGGCTTAAAAAAACAAGTACACTTTTAGAGTGCCAAGAGAACAAATGCATCTACTTTCTTGCTGTGCCGTTGAGATCACATGATCGACTTCCTAACAAGGTAACATGTTCTACAACAGAAATTCTACACTACATTTCTCATTCCTTGGTTGGAAAGCCCAGGCAGAATAAGACCAGACTAGACCAGCATCTTTTGCGAGTGCTGTGACAACAGAAAGCCCAGACAGAAGAGAAGCGTGTAATGGCTTAACACTTGTGTTCTGGGGATCTTCATGTGGGATATGTTTATCAGAGTCACTCCAGTAAATTAACCTATCTTAAAAATCCAAACCATAGTGGGGAAAGCCTGAATGGATTGCTTCTGGCTTTAAATATAAAAACTCATAAAAACAAAGGCAGTTTCCTTGTAGCATTTAGTGCTGGGAGAGGGCAGCTCTGCTGACTTGAGTTAGATGTAACTTAAGACCCACAAAGCAAGCCTGGTGATCTTTGAGGATGCTGATGCGTCCTTGTGCGGTGGACTTGCAGCTCACCTCTTTCTAAGTGCTTCCATGACTCAGAGAAAGTGCCATACGCCAGGTGGTGGTGATGTTAGCCCAGCAGTAGGGAGGGCCACAGGAAAAGCCTGACAGCACAGAGGGCTTCTGGGGGAGGATGTGGATATGCTAGTGAATGTGTGTGTGCCTGTGTGTAGGTGCAATGTGTGTACATGCATGTCGTGTATATGTGTGTGGTGTGTTCATGTATGTGTGTATGTATATTTGTGTACATGCATGTGGTGTATACGTGTGCCTGTATGTTTGTGCATATGTGCGTGCTCACAGAGCCACACCCCCACCCACTCAGTTCCTGTGTTGTCTTTCCCTCTCCCCCTGCAGAAAAGCGACTTTCCCGAGGGATTTCTCACGCCAGCTCAGCCATCGTCTCCCTGGCCCGGTCACACGTGGCGAGTGAGTGCAACAACGAGCAGTTCCCCCTGGAGATGCCAATCTACACATTCCAGTTGCCAGATCTGAGCGTCTACAGTGAAGACTTCAGGAGCTTTATCGAACGTGACCTGATCGAGCAGGCAACAATGGTAGCTTTGGAGCAGGCAGGTGAGTGTCTCCTCCCAGCAGGCCCGCGTTCCTTAGGCTCAGGGAACAAGTGGGGCTGGCCTAACTTATATCGGTGAGCAAGAGAGAGGCGTGGTGTGTGACTCTGGCATTTTCAATTAGGACTCCAGATGCTTGCACCAGACCCCTGCTCTGAAGACAGACTCTGCTCTAGCCCAGCGCTGGCTGGATGCAGTGGCCGGTGACCGTGGCGCTGCCATCTCTTGAGTCTTCCTTTTGTGCCTGGCTTGGCTAGCCCCCCCTAAAGAGAACTCGAGCTGCTTTGCCTTACTTCTCTCTCCAACTGCACTTCTCATCCAGCTCCTCATGGGTGCTGAACAAAAGATAAGAAAGACCATGGGCTTTGAGAAAAATAGGAGACCCTGTCCCGTCCTGTGGACATGAGCAACATATGTAAGCTCCTTGAGCCTCACTTTTCCATCTGCAAAGATGAGCAGACAGGTCCCCAGGCTGGGGAATTTCTTTGAGTATAAATGACACATGCCTTGCACTGCTGTTAGTCTCCTGCCCTCCCCACCCTCCTGGCTTCCGGGTTGAAGAAACCTAAAACCCAACTTTGCTCTCTCCTCCTTCTCCTTAATGTTTATTCTGACATCTGATGAGGAAGAGATTCAGGGAGCAAGCCAAACTTGTCTTCTTTGGAGTTCCTAAGGATAAAATAATTAGTTCAAAGCAAATGTCTGAAACAGATGTAGGCTCTCTCAGAGACAGAGCAATACCTGTCTCACTCATAATCATTTGCATTATAAATCTTTGCAAAATCATGTCTGGGGGCTTCTTAGACACACACGTGGAAGACTCCATGCCCTTCCTCTCAGGCACACCATGCATCTCCCCTTGTGGCCCTGCCTGCCAGCGTGGAATGACAGTGCTCATGGGGTGTAGACTCACCTAGTCAGGGGCTGGGGCTTCGGAGCAAGGTCTTCTGATTCTGATTCCACCTTCAGCCAGCTGTTTCCATCTGCTGTGGAGTGGAGCTTCTGCTTCCAAAGGCCTGGCCTATGGAGATGCTCCCGTGTGGGACATCCCAGGAGAGCAGGTCGGGGTGCCTTTGACTGAGCATGGTAGAGAGAGGGTCTGGTCAGGCCTGCAGCCAGCAAGTGCTGCTCCTCTAGGGAGAGGGCCCTAAGACTGAAGAGAAGGATATATAGGTTGGTATGGTCTTGATGTTGGTTGAGGGACCAGTCATTTCTTCCAAATCTTGGTAGGAAAGAAAAGGTGGCACATCAAAACTAGTGAGAACAGAGGATTCCGTGAAGGGACTATTGACCAAGGAGTGGGCGTGTTTTAAGTTCACCTACAAAGGATAGTGTTGTGCCTGGAACTGGCACCACAGGGACATTGCTACCCTTGGGCCTGGCAAAGAGGCGAAGGATGAGAGTAGCTGATGGAGATAGCCACTGGCAGAAAGTTTGGCTTTAGCGAGAGAGAAGATGCTAGAGAAATAAATACTCAAACCACACTCTTCCCACACCATACAGGCTCTGACCAGTGCCTCTCACTGGCAGAAGAGCGGAGAGCAGAGAGTTCATTACTGGGGTCCATGGAGGTCGCCCTATGGGCACAGAACAGGATGGAGAAGGGTGGAGCAAAGATTTGCAGGGCAAATGGGAAATACCTAGAAAGTCGATGTGTCAGGCATTTCTACTACATCCGAGCTCCTGTGTCTACTTGGTTTCATGTCATTGCTTCTTAGAGCAATCCAAGAGGCATCCTCATCCACTTGCTTCAAGAAGGAAGGCACAAAATGCGTGGAGACAAGTAAAGGGTGGTAATTAGTGGGGCTTATTTGTGTTGGGCAGCCTGGCGAACAAGTCTCGGCCACAGGACTTGGTTGAGCCTTACCCGTGGCCTGCTTGGTTCCAGAACAGGGTCTGCACTCCCAATAACTGTGTTGGCTCTGATGCCATGACCATGGATGAATTGTTGTCTCAGCTGCTGCACAGCTGTCAGAAGCAACCCGATGACTGACACCCACAGCCTTGCTCTGTCTTACCTTGGGATCATGGGTCAACAGACATAAAACAATCTGTCTGGATTAGCAGTAATCCTAGTCCACTCGCTCTGAAAGGCGGCTGTTTTATAGATGCTTCTACTTCACATAGAAGTACAGGATAGATGTGCATTCATTTCCTCAGTGCAGCGAGACAGACAGAAACAAAAGATTCACTGTTCACAGAGAAGGGAAAAATTAGTATATGTTAAGAAAGAAAAAAGTTTCAAGAGCTAATTTCTCTTGAATGCCACGACAGCTCAGACCTTTATAAAGCTCGATTCTGACGATTGTGAGTATGGGTAGGTAATTGCTGCTGCTTCATTTGAAGCTCGAGTCCTGGGATAGGGTGCAGAGTCCACCATGATAGCCTCCTCCATCAGCTCTGTCATCCTCAGCAAAAGCCCTTACTTCTCTTAAATGGGTTTTCTGTTACTTTTTCCATATATCACATATTAATTTTTATCACTTACATCTTATCTTCTGGACTAGCATTTTAAAAGGGTACTATTTTACTGAAACCATCCAGTCTTGGAAAACACCTTTTAAAAACACAAACTAGAGGGAACGGGGAGGGAGGTGGGCAAAAGGGATAATTAGGCACATGTGTGTGGTGATGGGTAGTAATTAGTATTTGGGTGGTGAACATGATGTAATCTATGCAGAAATAGAAGTATAATGATGTACACCTGAAATTTATACAATGTTATAAACCAATGTTACTGCAATAAACAAAAAATTAAAAAAAAAAAAAAAACTGGGGCTGGCCCAGTGGCGCAGCAGTTAAGCGCGTGCGCTCCGCTTCGGTAGCCCAAGGTTCACAGGTTCGGATCCCGGGCACGCACCAATGTGCCGCTTGTCAAGCCATGCTGTCGCAGCATCTCATATAAAGTAGAAGAAGATCGGCACGGTTATTAGCCCAGGGCCAATCTTCCTCAGCAAAAAAAGAAGAGGATTGGCATTGGATATTAGCTCAGGGCTGATCTTCCTCACAAAAAAAAAAAAAAAAAACCTTACTGAGTTAAGATGCTAAATTCACCAGCAGTTCATTGTTTATGTTGCATGCCAAGAGAATGGAGGAACTGGCAGCAGTGATGTCCCCCCAGCGCTCTGTCGATGCAGCAGGAAGCCTTGGGGAAGCTGGCTGACCCACAGTGCCTGGCAGTCCCTCTCCTGGTGCAGTGGGAGCCTGAAGGTCAGGGTGCAGCCTGGGGTGGGAAATGAGGACCTGGAAGAATGAAAGAGTACAGGATAGATGTGCATTCATTTCCTCAGTGCAGCGAGACAGTCTCCAGGCTGGGCGGGAGCACAAAGCCGACCCCGGCCCACCGTCCATCTGACTTCTCTTTCCTCAACTCTCAAGCTGGGGCGTAGACTAGATCATCCCTCAGGCACTTTCCATGCCTGGATTCTGGTGACCCCTGGCTGGTGCCAGACGAGTCCCACACATTCCCCAACCCCATCCGGGTGAGGAGCCTGGCCCACTGGGAGGTGGCCTTGTTCCCTCTCACCCAGGCTGTGCTGTTCAGGTTCCCATCACTATCCGTGGGGAAAACAGAGCTCCACCATAGAGTAGCGATTTGGGAGAGCTGCTCAGTATTGCTGGGTGTAGGGTACAAATTCCTCCTTCTAGTAATTTAGTGCTCAGGATCGTTATGAATAAACTATTGATATGCATGGGATATGTATGTGTGTGTACTGTGTACGTGGTAGATTGACACAGATATCAAAAAAATATTAGTGAAAAAAATCCACTTGTTCAAGGCATAATTCCAATTGTGTTTGGAAGGAAATATCTCTGTCACAGGGCTTTGGGGTAGGGGACTTCCCTGCCTTTGGGACTCTACAGGAGCCCAGGCTTCATGTGGTCCAGAAAATCTGCAAAAATGGCCTTCACTCAGGTAGCGTTGCCCCTGGCCCAGCCATCCATCCCAGGTTCTTGGCTCCATGCTCTCAGTGCCTGGTGTGGGCGATCAGGGGCCGCCCCATCAGTTTGAGGGCCCTCTGTGTCAAGTGGGGTGCCAGTCTTCACCTCCCACAGAACCCCACAGATGGGGAGTGCCATTCTCCCCAGGCCTTAAAACCCTAGAGGGCACAACCTCCTCCCACGCCATGACAGCCCTGGGGGCAACAGAGGGCCAGATCATCAGGACACAAAAGCACTGACCTCCTGAGAGAGGAAGGAAGCATGATCTTCATTCTTTAATGGTTAGCCTGCCATGGAGAATACAAGAAGCCGTTCATTCCTCAGTTGGGTTATCCTGCTACGTTCACCTATAGGAAGACTCAGAGATCATGGGTCTCTAGGTTTGGGAAGTACCAGCTGGCACCTGGCCCAGAAGCCCCCCAGAGCGTGGGCTAGACAGCGTGCGGGACTTCAGTGAGTTCATGGATGCAAAGGGCAGAGACATATTGTGTAATATAGTAGTTACTGCATACATGGGAAATAGAAATATAGAGGTCAGAAAATATTTAGGGACACCTTTGAGTTGTGGTGTTGAGTCTTGTCTCTGTGGGAGAATAATCAAATTGGAGCGAATCTGCCCAAGAAATCATAAGATGTGCAGAAGGTTTTGAAGGCTCCCAGAGTCAGCCCCCCTGGCTGAGTCCCGGGTCAGCTGAGAAAACTTGGCCAAGTTACTTGGCCCACTAGAGCCTCATTTTCTTCCACCTTAAAGTCAGAGATGTGTGACAGCTGCCAAAACAAGACAAATTCACCCAATGCAAACCTGTGTCCGTGAAACGCCCCGGGCAGGTGCTGGGGCTGTTGCTGCAAACCACACAGATGAAATCCCTGCCCTGGCGGAGTTCTAGTGGGGAGGAAAGACAATAAACAGGTGGACCATACATATGAAGTAAGCCGGCGAGGACTGCCATGGAGAAGTGAAGAAGCAAGGCAGGGGATGCAAGATGAAGGCGCGGAGACCAAGGCAGGCCTCCTGAGGGCAGGGAGGAGGGAGCGATGGAGACATCGGCTTGGGCGTTCCTG